TGCTTTGCATTTGGTTGGGTTAACCAAAACACCATGTCTGTACGACCAATCTCTAATGGCATCTAGGTTGTGGTTGAGTTTATGAATATTATTATTAAGGTCGTTAACACTAGATTGCACATAGAGCTGAAGATCATCTGCATACAGATGGTACGAACATGAGAACTGAAGTGATAGAATTTATGAATAAAGAAAACATTAAAGGAGAAAGTATTCCGCCTTACGGCACACCTGTTTCAATGTCAACCCATCTTGAAACGAGAGAACTCTTGTCCTAATCGTACTGATTGCTGGCGGCCGCGACGATAGGATGAAAACCATTCCAAAGCTGGGATTGAGAATCTAAGATTAGTTAGGACAGCTATAAAGATATCGTGGATACGTCTCGTTATCATGGATACGTACAAATATAAGGTAACACAAGGAGGCCACTGCAATTCTTAAGTAACACCGGCACGGCCGCAGCGCTCAACGATTCTTACAGACTGGGGGGCCCGCAGCGCGCGAATGGCTCAGCAAGTTCCCGCCTCCCACGCAACGCCAACCGTTTCCTCACCCTGTTCGAGACGCGCGATGGAAGTGTAACAATCGTGCGTGAACAAGTTTATAAACAGTGAAAACAATATTGGAGATAATATACCGCCTTGCGGTACGCCAGCTTCAACGTCAGCCCAAGCAGAAAACTGCTCCCCTGACCTAACCAATTGCTGACGACCGCGAAGATAGGATGAGAACCACTCCAAGGCTGGGGATGAGAATCTGAGGTAAGAAAAAATGGATAGGAGGATATCGTGGTCGACTGTGTTAAAAGCATTTGAAAAGTCAACAAGCGTCACCACTGTAACTTTTCGTTCCTCCATCCCTTTTCTAATGTCGTCAGTGATCATAATAAGTGCATTGGTGTGTGACCAGAGTGAAACACTGACTGTAAGTTATTCAGTAGGTTATACTTTTTTTTTTGAAAATAGATAATTGCTTATGCACACAGGCTTCCAGAACTTTAGAGAGATATGGGAGAATAGAAATTGGACGATAGTGATTTGGTAGTACAGGATTGGGTATTTTTGGGAGAGCACGTATATAAGCTCTTTTCCACAATGTTGGATACTGACCTGAGTCCAGCAAGTGATTAATAAAATGAGTGTAGCTGGCAGAAGGAAGTCAAGCAATGTTATATTCATAAATTTACTAATCTCATCACAACCTACAGCCTTGGAACTAATAGACAATACAGCTTTAGCTATTTCATCTTTTTTTTCAACATCTTTTTTTTGGGTAAACAAACAACATCACAATAACATATGGTTATAATAGTGTTAACCTATACATTATTGACAATTTTGACATCCACACCGTTTACCACGAGCATTATGAACAAATTGTTTTTACAGGCTGAGAGTTTTATTCATCTGTACATTTTTCACTGCTGTGTGTATTATAAATGACACTGTACTGCAGTTCCTTAATTACTAAGTTTCTGTAAAAGTTTACGCTATTTACAAAAAATATCAATATGACTGAAGTTGCGGTTATAAGAATTTAGTATACGGCGAATAGGTGTACGCATGCCTGCGTTAGTGCGTGATGTTCGTGTGGCAAATAGGTGTTTCGAATGACAGGCTCGCATGTAAGATCTAGTAGGCACTCTATAGTTAATATTATTGACAATATCAGAGCAGTCGTACCTATTATGGTAAATGTCATACAAAAGCATGGCGTGCATTTGTATTCTCCTAGACTTCAAGTCTAAGAGTTTATATCTTTGCAATAGCTGGTGGTGTGACTGATAGTTATGCCAGCATTTATAGTGCAAACAAGGCAAAAATTTCTTTTGCACTCTTTCTAAGCTATCTATATATGAGTATTTTATCGAATACAAACAGCATATTCTAATTGTGAACGGATTAAGGTCTTATAAATATGTAAATATGTACTAGGACGTACGAAGTCATTACTGGCTCGGAGTACAAAACCATACATTTTATAAGCCCTACTACATATGGTATCAACATGTGCATCAAGTGTTAACTTAGTATCCAATGTGACTCCAAGATCGCGAATAGTTTGTACTCTGGTAAGATTGCGGCCGCCTATGGAATAATTATGTGTACTCCACGCTCGTTTTCTAGTAAATGTAATAACTTTACATTTATCGAGACTTAGCTGTAGTTTGTTAATGCTACAGTAATTGTTAAATCTATTCAGGTCCTCCTGAAACTCGAGGTAATCATTAGAATTATGTATAGTTCGATAAATTTTTAGGTCATCTGCATATAATAGGAAATTACAATGCTGAAAGCAATTATTTATATTGTTACACAAATATAAACAGAATGAATAATAGGGGGGCCAAGGATAGACCCTTGTGGCACACCAGACGTTATAATAACCGTACTTGATTCATATCCATTGATGACCACTTTTTGTGTTCTATTTGTTATATATACGACTTAAACCACCTCCAAAGATTTCCGCGAATTCCGTTGAAAGCAAGTTTTTCTAGCAGTATTCTATGATCCATTCGGTCAAGCGCTTTCCGAAAATCTGTATAGACACTACCGGTTTGCGTATTAGCGTCTATATTGTCAAACAATTCAGAAGTATAAACAATAAGATTAGTAGATCGTTTAGGAACAAACCCATGTTGTTGTGGAAGGATAGTCCTATGCAATAGTGGATAGATATTATTGTGCACCAGCTTCTCCATAAGTTTAGATAAAGTGGGAAGGATTTAAATTGGACGATAATTGACTACATCTCTTTTTATGCCTCCTTTATGTATTGGTTATCCTGGCTGATTTCCACATAGCTGGAAATATACCTTCTGTAAGACATTTATCTATACATATAATAAAACAGTAACGAAAGAAAATCTGTACATTGAGTATTTTCGAGAAAAAAATAAGTGGCTTTTGTTAGAAAAACGTAACTGATGACAAAAATGACTTTATAGAATTTTTGTCTGTTTATCTGTTTATCTGTTTGTCTGTGTGTATGATACGGCTTCACGCCAAAACTACTGGATAGATTGAATTGAAATTCAGCAAAAATCTTCTTTGTAACCCAAGGAAGGCTTTAGGCTACATAGTATCACGCCGTATGTTATAGGAGGTAAGCAGCATTGATTTTAAAAGGTTTTTCTTCGTAATTGAATGCACAAAATGACATGTTATTAGTTAAAATAAACATAAAAATGTAACTCTGGGAACATAATAATCACACTATTTTTATAAAGAAGCTGGGCAGTAATATTATAAAATGCAAGGGAACAGCAGTTTAACAATATTTCAACGGGGAATTTAGCGGTAAGGTCAGGCGACCGTTTACCGCATTAAATGGTGCGAGTTTAAATTCCATAATATTGTTTTGAAAAATCGTAATTTTTGTTGAATTTTTTGCGCTTTTTATGTGCATTAGGAAATCTGAGAACTTTATATGTCCTATCTAATTGTATAGAAAGTTTCACACCAATATTACTAAACAGATTGATTGGTGGTACAACAAGTGAAACTATCATGAAGTCAAGTCAAACTTTTGGTTCTAAGTTATATCTCACCAAGCACATTTGTTGCAGGTAATTGATTTTAAGTATGTAATTCTTAGTTTTGTTCCTTGCTGCTGTTACCATATTTTTTAATGCAAAAATAATGTACTCGTCTATTAAATTAACGACAATTTAGTTTTAATTCATAATTTAATTAATTCATTTGGGTAAATAATATGTAGTTTCCGTTTTCTAACTAGATGGCGTTGGCGTCGAGTTAGATCGCACTATGGTTTCATGATGTAGGTGCCGATGGGCCACTCTCATCCTTTATAAGCGGGGGTTACCTTTGTTGTCTGTGTTGGTTGATGTGTTTAATTTTTCTGCGAATAATAATTATTTTTCTACTTACTAGTAATTATTACGTACTTGTTCAATTACTTTTCATTGTTTTGAATATCACTAGTATCGGATTAAGAAGGAATTTTAGCTATGCCTTTTAGAAAAAGATCAAATCTGTCTCGAAACTCAAGGGTTTCTAAGATGCGCAGGTTAGTTAGTAGTAGCAGTAGTTTCTTTCGAACCCATGCAAAGCATGAACAACGGCTAGGTGCTAACCGTGAGCGTAAAGCACTAAGTTTGTCCGCAGAAACACCGCACGCAGCGCCAATTACGACTAAAATTTAAACGAGTCCGCACTACTGCTTCTCGATATCAGGAAAGTGTGGAACAACGAGAAATGCGTTTAAATATCGACCGGGATCGTCATTCTTTGTCTCGCGCATCCGAAACGGTAACACGGAGGGATCAGAAGTTGAGTCTTCAGAATATCCGCTCTGAGACTGTTCGATCACATGAGAGCAGTCAGGAGCGTGAGATACGACTTGCGCGTGACCGAGAACGTGAGCAAAGCCAAGAGTACAACTATAGTTTATAAAGAATTTTTTTTAAAGTGATTTGCAATATTATTGTTAATTCAGTGTACTCTTGAGATCCGGTGCATTCCGCACCGGATCGGTGAAATATACGGAATGAAAAGTTTTTGTTGTATAGGTGTTAAGTATAGGCTATAATTTATTTTGGAAAATGGAACACCTGATGCAGAACCGCAACAGACCAGCTAAAGTATAAGAGATATAAAAATGGAGCCATAACAAAAAATATTCCACGTGAAGAGTATTTTCTGCTGTGAGAATAAATTTGATTATCTGGAACACCTGTTGTGGAACTCCAAAGCCCAGCGATATTATAACATATATAGGAATGACGTCTTAGCAAAAGTTGTTTAGTCTGATGGGCATTTTCTGTTGATTTACAAAAAGTGAAAGATCTGGAACGTCTCGAATCGTCTCGCGCATCACGTTGTTTTCCCGTCCCGGGCTCTTAGAATTCGACATCAGACGTTTCAGATCTTCGATTTTGACGACCTTGTTGTCGCTGGCATAAGCAACATCATCCGCGTACGAAGTCGCGGGCAGCAGCTAGTTATATAATATAACCAATGGTTTACATATGGTTACGGCAGTATTTTTAATGAAAATAGGGGGAATGTTATCAAGGCCTGCCCAAAAGCCTTTAGTTCCTTTAAGACATCTGCTTCTGATAGCTGTATGTCACTAATAATGGTGTTATTGAACATACCATTGTCTATATCGTCTATATGGTCAATACAGAAGGAGTGAGATACATTAGTAGGCTGGAAAACTGAATGAAAGAAGGAAGAAAACAGGTTACAAATGCTCTCAGGACTATCCGCCTCTGTTCCGTCATAGTGAACACTATTTGGAATATCTGATTGATTTTGACGATTTTTTATGTAAATCCAAAAGTATTTAATATTATTAGGAATACTGTCTTCTACTGATTTCGTATATTTGTTATAATAAATCAATGATTCTTTCCTAAACCTATCCCGATACATTGAAAATGTAGAATAATCAGATTTGTTTTTATATACTTTCCACTTAATCCAAGCTTTGTTTTTATTCTTAAATATGTCTATCAATGCAGGGGTAAACCATACTGGAAATTTTGAGTTGAATCCCGTTTAGAGGGAACGTGTTTACATATAAGATCAAATATATTTTCATAGAAAACGTTAACACTTTCTTTGGCAGTTTGATTTTGAAATAGTTCACACCAATTAATTTCTAATATATCGGTATTAATTTGTTTATAATTAGCATTCTTGTATCAATATATTAAACGTGGATTCGTTGGCATGGATAAGTTATTATCAATAGGTATTAAGAGGTAATAAGGAGGATGATTTACGTCAGGTGGGACTAGAGTGATAGGCGCAGAAAAGGTTTTACTGTTGTGTACGTTAGTTAGGCATAAATCGAGTAACCTATTCATATTATTTTTAAAAATATTCACTTGTATACCGTCCATAACGGACATGAAATTTTCTAAAGAAATGTACGTAATACTCTTAAACCTAGAAGTTTTGCTTGAGTTCCATCTAGATACCAGTCAAGACGAATCACGACAAACGAATCCAGCCACAGTGAATGTACGTCACACGGTTTAGGCAAATAGGCACACTGGCCGTAAACCCTCCGTGAGCGCCACCACCTGCCAGACCGCCGCTCCTGCAGACGTGATATAAGTGTATGGCATCACCACCAATTGCATGATCAGCACGGCTACTAGCCGCAGAGCGTGTCATGAGTCTACCGCTCACCTCAAGGGAATGGGGTCCCACGTTGTGCGGCTTTCGGCCGCAGCCTTGAGAGTCTCCTCAGATCCTCCCGCCAGCTACCACCCGCTTGAGGTCGACACATATGCTCCACCAACCAATACAACGGCAGATATAGTCAAAAGGCAGTTATAACATAAGAGTAATAATTCGCCATCAGAAAGGATTTGTGTCACTGACGTTGAGTAAATGCATTTTTGATCATGTTTGTCTCGCCCACCAACAAGTTGCCTTCAATCATTCAAAGGTGGGAAAGTTACAGAGATATATTATTATGTTGTTATATAAAACATCATGGAGGTCAGACAGTCTGCAGCCCCGTAATGAAGGGACCCGACTTGGGCGAAGCTACTTAGGTGTGAGTCAAACCAAGACGCAGAGAGCGCCATTGAGAATAGCGTCCCACCAAACAACCATCGCAGAGACGCAATGCTGCAGAACGCAACAAGCATCAATACGACTATCGTCGGCTTACACCATCCCAAGGTCCCCCATACAACCCAGCAGACATCACCACTCGCATACCTCCATCGACCAGAACCACAAGAGTGCGTCGAATCAGGCGCAGCACACCCGCAGATCCATCACAAGACGCAATACCGCAAGTAGCAGTAAGCATCAATGCAACTATCATACAGAATGGCGCCCCCCTCACAACACACCCACATGACCCCTATCTATTTTCGTAACAAAGTTTTTATTATTGTTATATAAAAAATAACACCAACGTATCATAGTAGCACGCTACTAAAACGCCAATGAACAAAACTCCACGTATCATAGCGCTAATGCACTAAGACATGAAGTTGAGTATGCCTGTTACACTTAAAAGTGCTACCAAACACACTCATCATCCCAATACGAAAGATAGACGACGTATCGCTATACACTACGACGTCGCCCACAAACGGTATGGGTGTGCGATGTCCACGGGAAATCCGTATTGCTACAACAAACCCGCTTACCACCAGCACTAAGATGATACGTCTAGGACACATCGGTTAGCGAGTCCAAGTTTACCTCGGACCAATTGCTCGTGAAGCAGCATACACGCCACCATAATATTCCTTTTCAAGTCCCTAATAAGGACTAATCATTTTGCTACAGTACTAGGAGCAGTCGATCACCGACCACTCCATACAATGCTTATGCATCAAGGAGACCTCCTATAAAGTTGCTTTTGTATCATAGACCTTACTTTCATAAGTCATTCATATATAGGATTCGAACCCACGACCCTAGTATTGTAATGCATATTAATCATAGAGACCTTCTTTAGTATTGCTTTTGTATCATAGACCTTACTTTCATAAGTCATTAATATACAGGGTTTGAACCCACGACCCTACTATTGTAATGCATATTAATCGTAGAGACCTTCTATAGTATTCCTTTTGTATCATAGATCTTACTTTCATAAGTCATTAATATATAGGGTTCGAACCCACGACTCTACTATTGTAATGCATATTCATCATAGAGACCTTCTATAGTATTGCTTTTGTATCATTGAGTTTATTATCATAAGTCCCTTATATAGGACTAGTCATTGTGCTACAGTACTTCAGGCAGTCGGGCTCCCGACCACCCCATATATATGTACAACTGCAGGTATGTATCTCCGGCAGCTCCTCTATACAAGACATCTATACATGAACACCTTCCATAACTTAGGAAAATTTTCTTTTATACGTGAACTCCTTCCACAACTTAGGAAATTTCTTTTATACATGAACTCCTTCCACAACTTAGACAAATTTTCTTTTATACATGAACTCCTTCCAAGACTTAGACAATTTTTAACAAATTTTCTAATTATCTTATAAATGTTATTTATCTTTATTTTTATAATATTTTCGACTTGTATTTCTATTATTTATTTTATTTTAAATATTTTTTCAAGTTTTTAATAAATTTATTTATTATGGAAGACAATATTTTGCCTTTAATTTACTATTGTTACGAGCTTGAGGTTCGTGATAATAAAAATTGCCGATAGAATTACCTAAATTAACACTTTAATTTTCTTTACACCAATTAAAACTTAAAACACTAATAATTAATCACACTGATTCACTTTATTCCGCTCCGAAGCTTCGCTTGTCTCGCCAACTTCAATACTTCCCCGATCGCATCTTGCAGCGCCTATTTATATAAATTAGCACGGAAATATCCAGAATATTCAAGTAAACACGCGCAAGGTACCGAGAATTCGAGTTTCAACTAGGCGCTAGTGCCGTCGGCTAAGGCGCGTAACACTGCCCCCTCCTAAGACATGCTCGTCCCGAGCATTATCGGCCCCATAATAACGCGCCAGGCGATCCACATGGACGATCTTAGGAGTCCCTCTTGCGCCTTTCTGTATCCGGTAAGTTACATCGTTGATCCTGGTCACAATCCGGTACGGGCCATCCCATTTAGCTTGAAGCTTAGGAGATTTCCCTTTGCTGCGGACTGGATTGTGCAACCACACAAGTGAACCTTCGTCGAACCCTTTGTTGTTCATTTTGCGGTCGTACCGGGTTTTCATCTTTTCAGACATTTGCTGGCCCGATTGTCTGACGTGCTCATAAACGTCATTCATTTTGTTCCGCAAGTCATTTGCATAATCGGTTATACTGCGTGGAGCATCAGGTGGTATCCCGGTGATCAGGTCTGCAGGCAGCCGTAATTCTCTTTCAAAGTTTGCGAAAGCTGGTGTCACTGCTGTACTTTCGTGAACAGTGCTTCGATATGATAACAAAAACGGTTGTATGTGCTTGTCCCAATCTCGTTGCCGATTGTCTACAACTTTTGCTAGGTACCTCTCCAATGTCTGATTAAATCGTTCTACCATTCCATCAGATTGCGGGTGATAAGAAGTCGTTCTTGTTTTATGAGTACCCATAACTCGGCAAGTTTCCTGGAATATTTGAGACTCAAAATTCCTTCCTTGATCGCTGTGAATCTCTAAAGGTACTCCAAAACGACAAAAGACTTCATGAACTAGTTTATCTGCAACTGTTGAAGCTTCTTGATTTGGAATGGCGAAGACTTCTGGCTACTTAGTGAAGTAATCCATCAAACCATGAAATACTTGTTACCGCTTTCACTTTGCGGAAACGGCCCCGCCACGTCAATGGCTATTCTCTCCCATGGTGCACCAACATTGTACAACTTCAATGCACCTCTACTAAGAGTCTGAGGTCCCTTTACAGCCGCACAATTTGTACATTTGCGACACCAGTCCTCGACATCGTTTCGACAGTGGACCCAGTAAAACCGTTCTCGGATCTTCAGTAGAGTTCGTTTAACTCCCAGATGGCCTCCTGAATAATCATTATGGTACAGCTATAGAACATCCGGTACTTTAGCTTTAGGGACAACCATTTGTAAATGACAGCTGTCTCCCCGAACATTTTCCCATATACGGCACAGAACTCCATCCTGAAGCAGCATGCTGTCCCACTGGGCTCAATAGCTTTTAGTGGTCGAACTCATCGCTGAGACGTCGCCCCACTTGGGCTTGGGAGCACTGGCCTTCATCCATTTCAGGATCGGCTTGATGTCCGGATCTTCCTGCTGTGCACGTTGTAAGCTGTCCTTCCACTCGTTGCTGAGGTGGTCTGCCCTGAGCATCCTCACGGATACCACTTCCTTACTCTCTTGCCTATTACAATGTTTGCAATCTTCAGGACAAGTTCTTCTTGACAATGCATCTGCGTTGCCATGAGATTTCCCGCTGCGATATTCGATCTCAAAGTCGTATTCCTGCAGTAGTTCAATCCCCCTCGCAACTTGTCCTTCTGGATTTTTAAACTGCAATAGCCATTTTAGTGCAGCATGGTCAGTTCGTAAGTGAAATTTTCGCCCCAGAAGATATTTGCTAAAATGCTGCAACGACTTTACCACAGCTAGCAATTCGCGTCTTGTGACACAATAGTTCCTTTCCGGTTTAGACAACGACTTGCTAAAGTACGCTATCACGACCTCTGTGTCACCATTACGTTGAGACAACACACCGCCAAGTCCTATATCACGTGCGTCTGTGTCAACTATAAATTCTTTGCTTGCATCAGGGTATCCCAAAATAGGTGTTTTGCACAGACGGTCCTTGAGCTCCTGGAATGCGATATTACAACTTTCATCCTAGCAGGAATGTCGCTTCTTCTCGGTTAGCTTATGCAGAGGTTTGGCTATATCTTCAAAGTTCTTCACATATCGCCGGTAATAGGAGCACAAACCCAAAAATGCTCTAACCTGCGTCTTGTCTTTTGGAACCGGCCAATCCTTTACAGCCGCGATTTTCTCTGGATCCGTGCGGATACCTTCTTCCGATACTACATACCCCAAAAAGTTGACCTGCCGTTTGAATAGTGAACATTTCTTCGGACTCAACTCGAGGTTGGCACTCTTAATCTTCATGAGCACGCGTTCCAGGTTTTGAAGGTGTTCCTCAAACGTACGGCCCACGATGATGATGTCATCCAAGTAGACCAGACAGGCATCGCCAATTAGCCCGGTAAGTACAAGTTCCATCAGCCTTTCAAACGTTGCTGGAGCATTGCACAACCCAAACGGCATTACTTTAAATTGCCCCAGACCCTTTCCCGTTGAAAACGCAGTTTTCTCCTTGTCCTTAGGGTCAATTTCAACTTGCAAGTAGCCACTTTTTAGATCCAGCGTGCTAAATCACTTTACTCCTGTAAGCATGTCCAGTGTGTCGTCAATTCTTGGCAAGGAATAGCTGTCCTTCTTAGTAACGTTGTTCAGACGGCGGTAGTCAACACAAAACCGCATGCTGCCATCCTTCTTCTTTACCAGTACCACGGGTGAACACCATGGACTAGATGATGGTTCAATAACACCATCCTTCACCATTCCTTTAATCATGGTTTCCACTTCCTTTTCACTTGCTACCGGCAATCTTCTTGGCCGCTGACGGATAGGCAATTCTTCACCTGTGTTTATTTTGTGTTGAACTAAGCCAGTCTTTCCTATGTCAGCATCCTTTGATGAGAATACATCGGCATACTTGAGTAATAACTTCTTCGCTTTGACCATTTCATTCGGAGAGAGAACGCTGCGATAGTCTTCTAAAAGTGTGCTCACTCTCGTACTCCTGAGATGTTAGTGGTTCTGACCAAGGTTGGAGCCACTTTCCATGGAAGGTCATTTTTTAACCTTTCCAAGAGTACACAACGATGAGGTTTCCCAGGATTTCGAGGAAGACTAACCAGCACAATCGTTTCCGATCTCGACGGAAGAACAATCTTCTCAAGGCTGTACACGTTCCCTGGTAACGCTCCTTCCACAAAAAGTTCCTCTTGTCCACATTTCAAGACACCTTGCTTAACGTCAATCGCACAACAATTCTTCCTCATGAAGTCTAGGCCTAGGATGCAGTCGTCCATTATATCAGCCATGATGACATTATGCAGGTAGATCATGTTGCCTAGCTTCAACTCCATCTCTTTCTCTCCACGGACGGGTATACGCTGACCGGTGGCTGTTACCAAATTAATGCGTTCTCGGTTGTATGCGGAGTCCCCGAGGAACTGACTTATTAGTTGGGAACTAACAACCGTACGAGAGGCTCCAGTGTCTATGGTCAGTTTACACGGCATTCCGTTGACCTCGCCCTTGATGATTAGACTGTTCCCATCGTGGGTTTGTGAGATCGAGATCCTTGGGGCTCTTTTAACATCAGCCAGCACCCGCCCCGCAGTTCTGGCTTTTACTCGTTTCCCTGCTGCTGCTGGGCGGTGCTGTTGGCTGCACTACCCTCCTGATATCGTTCACCTTCCCTTTCTGCGGTTCGCTTAGGGCAGCTGGATCGAAGATAGCCCTATTCCCCACAGCCATAGCACCTAGGGCTGTATCCTTTGTTGCGGTCGCGAACTGTAGCTGCTGCAACCTCCCTGACGCGATGGGAACGATGATCCTGCCGCACGGCTTCCACCTCCAGTGCATGGGCCAAGGCGTCCTTAAGAGTCTCGTGGTGCCCGAGCCTCACAGCAGCTCTGACTTCCAGGTCGCGGATGCCATCGATGAATGTCTGAACCACGTTCCCTTCAATGAGCGCAGGTACAGACCGGTGTGCTTACCGCACCAGCTTCTCCACCTCTAGAGCCCACTCCTGCAGGTTTTCGTTGATGCGCTGCACGCGATCTTTAAGCTGCGCACGAAAGACGTGTTCCAGGTGAGCGTCACCATATCTCGCCTCCAACGCCTCAAGGAGTTTCTCATAAGTCACTTCCTCACCGAGAGCTTCCAGAACTGTTAAGGCCTGGTCGCGCAGGCCTAGTGTGAGAGCAGTCATGGCCTGACTTTTATTCCAGCCGTTCGCCTTCATAACAGCCTCGAACTGGATTTTGTAGGCTGACCAGGAAGAGGTACCGTCGAACGGTGGCACCTTGAACCCACGTAGCGAAGGTGTTGTAGCTACTACGGGAGCTGTAGCTCCCTCTCCAAGTTTGAGTTCGTCCAGTGATTTCTTCATGTCAGCCATTACGTTGTCAACCCGATTGTTTACTTGGTCGATTCGGGTTTCAGCTTTCGCGATTTGGGTTTCAGCTTCCGACAGGCGGTTGTCATGCTGAGCAACCCTATCCTTCACCTCCTTTATCTCCTTCCCGAAGGTAGCGTGAAGGTCCTTCATGAGGAGCATCTGCTCTTCCAACCGACGGGCCTGTTCCTCCTGTCCGCCCCGCAGCTGCTCTTCCAATCGGCGTGCCTGTTCCGCCTGCTGGCGAGCCTGTTCCTCCTGCTGCTCTTTCAACCAACGGGCCTGTTCATCCTGTCTGCCCCGCAGCTGCTCTTCCAACCGACGAACCTGTTCCTCCTGTCGGCGAGCCTGCTCCTGCAGCATCACCATCAGAGCACCTAAGTCAGGTGCTGCAGATGTAGGAGCTACAGCCAGCGGCTGACCCTCCGCCGTCTGCGGCGTTGTACCACCAAATCTTCTTTGGTCCGTCTCCTGCTGGCGTTGACTTCGGGTACGGACACCCTCCGTTTCCTCCTTAGGTAAAATCTGCATGATTTTATCCCACTTCTGACACCAATTGTTACGAGCTTGAGGTTCGTGACAATAAAAATTGCCGATAGAATTACCTAAATTAACATTTTAATTTTCTTTACACCAATTAAAACTTAAAACACTAATAATTAATCACACTGATTCACTTTATTCCGCTCCGAAGCTTCGCTTATCTCGCCAACTTCAATACTTCCCCCGATCGCATCTTGCAGCGCCTATTTATATAAATTAGCACGGAAATATCCAGAATATTCAAGTAAACACGCGCAAGGTACCGAGAGTTCGAGTTTCAACTAGGCGCTAGTGCCGTCGGCTAAGGCGCGTAACACTATGTTATTGGTCTAATGTCTGAAATGTATTTATATTAACTTTATGGTTATTAATGTAATTTTATTGTTTAATATATATCTTTTAAGACTATTTTTGACGCCCCTTTATATTGAATTTAAGTATTAATAATAATATTGGGCCGTCACAATATGTAGGCGTAAATAATTTATTTTTAAACCTGTTTATGACATTGCAATGCTGCCTGTTATCGTCCGGGTGTTGTTCATTTTCAGCATTTTCATTTCGTGCGATGTCCTGGAGGGATCTGATTGCGATAGCGAGTGAAATATCCGTCTTTCGAGCCAGAACGGTGCCATGTTTAACCCATATATATTTATATTCGTTTTTCTTAGCAGCCTCTTGGCACTGACGAAACAACAATTTGTTATTCAACGTTAAATGCTCGTTAACGTAAATGGTGACAGCTGGCCAGGTACGGACAATGGTGTGGAATTTAACTCTTTTGTAGCGGCAATCACATTGTCGCGCAGTGTCCTGTTTGCGAACTTTAACATTCTTCGGACGTCGATCATTTTTGTCAGCATGAGGTACACGATGAACGGCTTTTATTTCGGATGATTGTAAAGGATGCTTAATAGCATCGCCCAAACACTCCATTATGCTGATTAGATTCTCACCTCGCCTGTCGGGGATATTAGCTCTTTCGACATTGCACTGTCTTGCTTGCTGCTCCATGGTATGTATTTTGTTCTCAAGTAATTGTATTTGAGTTTTAAAGCCATTATATTGTGATATACTCTGTTCTACAGTTTTCACTCGACTGTCAAATAAGTCCTGTCGTCCATTTGAGAAGCTAAGTGATTTCTCTATTTTGTACAGTCGGGTGTTAACTTCGTGCAATAATTTATTAAGGTTGATAGTATCCATGTTAAGTTTCAACACATTATCATTAAGTTCTGATGATGATAGCTCGCCCTTTAGGGCTGTATTTACCGCGGTGGCAATGCTATTTGCGATGCAATCGCTAATGATTTTATTCCATATTTGCATTTGATTATCAAATTTTTCTTCAAATTTAATCATATTTGTATCAGTTTTATCGTTTTCCATTTGTTTACGTTTACGGGTTGTTATAAAACTTTCGCCGCTAATCTTCTTTACCGATGCAGGAATATCACCGTCCGATGAAAACACATTCGGTGGTGTGCGTTGTAAAGACATCGTAGTGTGCAGGTATATCTGTAGTTACACAGGTGTGAGAGAGTTAAAAAATATAGCGCTGTCCTTACGCCTACCGGTAAGGAAGTGACGTCCCCGCACTGCCACAGTCCGACGATGCTACGTGAGAACGAGACAGCAATTGCTGATTTATTGTTTTTCACTCAATCCACTAGAATGAGCTACAATCTTAGTGCAGTAATCACGACACTAATAAATATCGCACTATGATCGATTTTTGTATACATATAATTAGATAATTAAGGAAGTCATTAATACAGGGTACCACTCTCAATGCTTGTTGCGGACGAACTTGAGTTACAGGAGAAAATTCGAAAAAAGAAATAGTTAGAGGTTGCATAGAAGCTATAGAAGCAATGGTTCGTGATCTTACAGAAGAGTCCAGTGTAGGAGTTGAGACAGATTAAGAGAACCATTATCAGATGACATTGGCTTAGTAACACCAAGAGATTTTAAGAACTTCCACATATCAGCGGTCGAAGTATTGGTTAAGTTATCATGAATTTAACGGCGTTTAGCATTTCGTACCACCTGATTGCACCTGTTTCTTAGCAATTTACAATACAATACAATACAATACAATATATTTATTTGCATTCCATAATGTAGAAATTAATAATATTCAATTTTCACAATATGGACCCTGTCGGGTATAGCAAATTAGAACAGAGGAGGACGCAAAAATGTTTTATTATTCATTATAATTATATTATTCATTATATTTAAATTATTCCTTATTATTATACTATCATTATTCGTGTTATTCATTCATTTATTTATAGTTTTCATTATCATTATTACATTTGTCATTCAGGTATTCATATAAAGTATAATAACATTTATTGATTAGAAACACTTTTAATTGTCTTATAAAAATATGATCATTTGTTTCGTTTTTTAATGAGTTTGGTAGTTTATTATAGACAGTTATTGACATTATGTAAGGGCCTGAGGAAAAGAGCTTCATTTTAGAAGTTGGTAGCAATAATCTATTTCCGTGTCTTAAACTATAAGCCGTAATTTTAGTTTCTCTTTTTACGTAGAAATTAGGGTATTTTCGCACAAATTTGCATAATTCCAATATATAAATACAAATTAGGGTAAGAAGTTTAAGTTTTTTAAAATGAGGACGGCAACTTGCAGTTCTTTCTATGTTACACATAATGCGAATTAGTTTTTTCTGTAAGATGAAGATGGTGGTTGCATCTGTACTGTTACCCCACAGGATAATACCGTACCTTAGCCACGCCTGTGCATAGGCATTGTAAGTAATTAACGCGGTCTGGAGGTCAGTTGTCTTTTTTATTTCACTTAGGGCATATACAAAACTAGACAATTTGTTACGAATTTTCTGAACGTGAGATTTCCAGTTGATGTGACTATCCAAAACTATGCCGAGTAGAGTGTGCTCATTTACAGTCTCGATTTTTGTATTTTTGTAAGAAAAATTAATATTTATCGGCGCTTTTTGATAGGGGTAAAAAGGCAAAATTTTTGTTTTTTTGTAGTTTATTTCCAGGTTATGCTCTTTCATCCATTGGTCAGTATTTTCAAATATTTTATATAATATATCATTTACGTTATTTACGTCACGACAAGGTGCTAAGATAGAGATATCGTCCGCAAACATAACACATGGGTTAACCATAGTTTCACTGAGATTGTTAATATATATTAAAAATAATAAACATCCCAATACACTACCTTGGGGTATTGAAGCATTTACAATTATTTTATTTGATCTCACTTTTAATATTTTATTATTATCAAAGTATTCTATTTCTACATATTGTTCTCTATCTTGTAAGTATGATTTGAACCATTCTAAACTAATCCCACGAACACCTATACAATTTAATTTATTAAGTAATATATTATATTGTACCTTATCATATGCTTTGGTCATATCTAAGAGTATTCCTATTGCATATTCTTTATTGTTTAATATCTTTAGAATATCTTGAATATATTTATATACTGCTAGTACGGTAGATCGATTTTTATGGAAACCGTTCTGAAATTCACTATAGATTTTATATTTTTCGCAAAAATTATACACACGTTCGAACATTGCTTTTTCAAAAACTTTTGAGATTGTAGGGAGTAAAGCTATGGGGCGATAATTATCGATATCGGTTTTTGAATTTTTCTTATGGATGGGTATTATTAATGCCTTTTTTAACATGTCTGGGAAAATGCCTTCTGTGAGAGATTGGTTGATTAGTTCACAAAGTGGTAGAGCTAACGCATCTGCGCAATATTTTATTAAGGCTGGTGGTAATTCGTCTATCCCGAAGCTCATTTTATTTTTTAAATTTTGTATTATTTTATATACTTCCCTTGGGGTCACTGGGCTGAGATACATAGAGTTATTTGACACTTTTTGTGCAGTTCGACCACGTGCTGGCGGGTTACAATTTTTGCCTAACGAAGCATAGAATCTATTAAAAGTATTTGCAATTAAAATCGGGTCTGAAGTTAAAGTACTGTTTATTTTTAGTTTAAGATTATCTTTTTCTTTTATAATATTTTTATTTGTTCTTTCCTTTATTATATGCCATATTGTTTTGATTTTATTATTTGATCTTATAATTTTATTACTGTATTCTATTTTCTTTGATGTAATGACAGCTTTTTTTAGTAATTTTCCATATTTTTTATAATGTTGGATAAGTATTTCATTATTCGATTTTAATGCCAATACCTTTAGCATTCTTTTGTGTTTACACGATTTTTTCAACCCTACGGTTAACCAACGCTTTTTATATCTCGGTTTAATTATAATTTTCTCTTTGGGTATACATTCATTCAGTATATATATTAATTTATCGTTAAACTTTTTATAGTTATAGTTAATATTTTTATTAGGTTCCAAAATTTCCGACCAATTGCATGACTCTAATTTGGATTTAAAGTTTTGCATATTATTGCAATTAAATTTTCTTTTGTCTGTATACCATATATTTTGTTCGTTTTGCTTATTTATTTCTATATCTATAATTGTGCTCATGTGGTCGGAAAGTCCAAATTCTTCTACACTAGTTTTTAGTTTTAGGTTGCAGAAATTTGTAAATATTAAGTCTAAGCATGTTGATGTGTTTTTAGTTATACGAGTAGGCTTTGTTATATGTTGATTAAATTGAAATTCTAGCATTAGATTTAAAAATTGTCTCGTCTTTGTATTGTTTTTTAATATGTCAATATTGAAGTCACCTCCTATAATTATACTGTATTTAGAAAATTTTTTATTTATATAATTTAAGATATATTGTAACCGATTATAGAATGCGTCTTCCTCTCTTCCATTCCAATACACAGTTATAATTAAAATATTTTCTTCTGGTAGCTCCACTGCACACACTTCTATTATATATTCTATTGACATTTTGGCTATTTCTTCTCTTTCTACATATTTTAGAACATCTCTCAAAAAGATACAAACTCCGCCGCCAACGCGGGATTTTCTACAGAATGAAGCAGCTATCCTATAATTTGAAAATTGTATTATCTGTAGTTTTTCAAGCGTTAGCCAAGATTCTGTGATACATATTACTTGAAACTGTGGGAACTCTATCAAAAATGCTTCTAGTATGTCTTGTTTATTGAAGATGCTCTGTATGTTTTGAAATAAAGTTACACCAGTTCTCTTCTGTACGTACTCTTTTGTATTTCGTAAATGCCCGATTTCGTTTGCGCATTGCCACTCGTACACCCTTAGTCATCCAAGGGGCAGGAGGGCGCTTTAGTCTTACTTGATAAACTGGCGCATGGACGTTATAGAGATTCAGAATAGCGTTGTTCAAAAAGTAAATTTTGTCATCTATAGAAGAAGCAGCCCCCAATGGAGCAAAATAAATAAGAGCAGTATCTCTCCTTAGTTGGTCAATGTCTAGGCTGGAAAAATTGCGTAAATGCAATATAGAAGGAATATGTTTCGGAGGTTTAATTCTATAAGATAAATAAATTAGATCATGGTGTGAAAAACAGGGGACTCAAAGCTGTCCGTGCTTCCCCACTGACACTGACACTTGACACGGTCAGGAGAAGACGTAATTATGTGATCAATCCATGAATCATTTATGTCAATGTTACGATGCGTGGCCGCTAAAGGCAGAATGCTGAAATTGACTGACTCCACGATTGATCGAAACTTATGAGCACGAGAATTATTTCTCAGTAAATAAGTATTGAAGTCCCCCATTATTATGTAGTGCATGTATCCAGACCCAACGGTGTCGAAGGCTGTTTCTAGTACCGTGAAGTAGTCAATATTAGGAGGACAGTACACTACCCCTAGAATCGCCTTGATGCCCTTGATGTCAATTTCAAGAAATAGATACTCAGAGGAGCCTGAATAAGTAGAAGGAGAAGCTAATACAACCTTGTAAGGAATTGAGGCTCTCAGATATATGGCAACTCCGCCACCCCTTCTTTCAGTCCTGTCATTGCGAATAAGCACAAAATTACCTAAAGGATACGAGCTAGAATTTATAGATGGTTTCAACCAGCACTCCGATATTAAAATTACATGGATACAATCTTGTGAAAAAGATACTTCAAAATCTGAAAAATGGCTCGGAATGCTTTGCGCATTTATATGACAAACGTTAAAATATTTGTTACAAGTTAACAAAACACTATTTAATAGCTCACGAAGGGACTTCATGTCATCCCCTGTGAGATCACTACAAGAGGAAAACGAATCTGAGTCATGTGCAGAGTGAAATAAATCACCTGACATAATTATCGTAATTTAAATAATTATATAAGAATATATAAATATAATATAAAACAATACAACAAAATATTTAAAAATGTTTAGTTAAGCTACAAAAAAAAATACT